CTCCCTCTCTCCCTCCCTCCCTCCCTCCCGTCTCACCCTCCCTTCCACCCTCCCTTCCTTCCGTCTATCCTTCCTTCTTGAGAGGCAGGCTGAGGTGCAGTGGCGTCATCTCGTCTCACTGCAACCTCCACCTCCCAGGTTCAAGCGATTCTCCTGCCTCCTGAGTGGCTGGGATTACAGGTGCTTGCTACCACCATCAGCTAATTTTTCTAATTTTAGTGGAGACGGGGTTTTGCCATGTTGGGCAGGCTGGTCTCGAACTCCTGACCTCAGGTGATCCCACCGGCTTAACTTCCCAAAGTGCTGGGATTACCAGCGTGAGCCACTGCTCCCGTCCCAACCTCTTTCTTTACAGAAAATTTTAGGTTGAAGTCATTTTTCCGTAAGACCCAGGAAGGCCCAGGAATGCTGGATTTTGCCCGGCAACTATTGATTTTCCTGCAAACGCCTTGGTGTTCACAAGGGAGGACCGCCGTGTGAAGGTCAAAGTCCTCCAAGGCCACCTGCCCTCACTTGGCTAACAGGTGGATCTGTTTTTTCTTTTTTCTAGTTTTATATTAATTTTATTTTGCTTTTCTTTCTTTTCTTTTTTTTTTTTTTTGAGACAGAGAGTTTTGCTTTTTTTTCCCAGGCTGGAGTGCAATGGCGTGATCCCGGCTCACCGCAACCTCTGCCTCCTGGGTTCAAGCAATTCTCCTGCCTTAGCCTCCCGAGTGGCTGGGATTACAGGCATGCGTCACCATGCCCAGCTAATTTTTGTATTTTCAGTAGAGACGGGGTTTCACCATGTTGACCAGATGATCTCGATCTCTTGACCTCGCGATCCACCCGCCTTGGCCTCCCAAAGTGCTGGAATTACAGGCATGAGCCATGGCACCCGGCCTTTTTTTTTTTTTTCAGTTTTAAGAAGCAGGGAGTTTAATAGGCAAAAAAGAAGGGAGAAGAAAGAAAGAAGCTCCCCTGTACAGAGATGAAGGGAGGGGGACTCCAAAGCTGAAAGATGAAAACCCCTTTTTCTGGCCGGGCGCGGTGGCTCAAGCCTGTAATCCCAGCACTTTGGGAGGCCGAGGCGGGTGGATCACGAGGTCAAGAGATCGAGACCATCCTGGTCAACATGGTGAAACCCC